TTCTTTTTTGTTTGTTTTTTTTTTTTTCAAGACATGGTTTCTCTATAGCTTTGGAGCCTGTCCCCGCTGCTGGCCTCGAACTCAGAGACCCACCTGCCTCTGCCTCCGGAATGCTGAAATAAAGGCTTCCAATGCATGTTTTTAATAGGTGTCTTTGTGTGCTGCTATGGGCTGGCCACTGTGCTGCAGAAGATGTACATATAAAAGATAAAATCAAGTCCTGGGAGTTATGTACAAGCCCTGGTTCGGTCACCTGGCTTCTGTGACACCATTACTGTCACCATCCCTTGTCATTTACTGTGCCTTACATTTAGGGTAGTGTTTAATGCTTATTATCCCCTTCACCAAATCCTCACAGGAAGCCTTTAAGGAGGCACTGAGGAAAATGAGGTCCAAGGGTTTGAGATTTAGTTCCATGTAGCGCTTCCCTAAGAAATTCAAGATTGTGAGTTACATCCCACCCAGCACTGGGGATAGGAGAAGAGAAAAGAGGCCCAGAAGGGTGAACATGTCCAAGGTCACACAGCCATTAAGTGCCTGAGGAGGAAGCAATTATCATCCAGCTCTTGCCTGGCTTGCTTCAAAAACATCAAAGATGTGAATTTAGAAGCTGTTAGCTCCATCCCCAGTCTTTGAGCCTCTCTCAGGTCACACAGTCTCATCCCTGCTGAACCTGGGCACCTTGCCAAGCGTCAACCATTAAGCCTGTCTCATGTACTTGGCCTCCATCCAAGCTCAACGTCTTATTTCCTCTTGAAAGGGGCTCAGGGGTACCACCTCCTTACCATGCAATAAATAATTCCTATTCCTTTAGAGCCCTTTTACATAACCCCCTTCCAGCCCTCTTCCCCAAATAGCATCAAATATCAAAGAACACTGAGCTCTATTACTGGCAGGGCCTCTCACATTGGTAATTGGTGCTGTGCTCGGGGCCTAGCTAATAAAGTTTTGTGAGGGTTTTCTCCCCCTTCTGTGTGTCAGGGATTGGAATCCAGGGCCCTGTGCATATTCACCAAGTGTTATAGCACTTACTCCATAGTTCAAGCTAGACTTGAACTCCTGATCTCCCTGCTTCTTCTGCCTCCCAAGTGCTGGGGTGAGAGGCATGCTACACCATACCTGGCTCCATATTTTATTTAATCTTTCTGGCAAACCTGGATGTTGTCACTTATAGATATATTTTACAGGTAAAAATACGGATAGATTTTACCCAGCACTAAAGAGGTGAGTGACAGACACTGGGTTACCTACTGGATAAAGAAAGGAATTGGAATTCAAGCCCCACACTGTCTATTCCTAAAATCCGTTAGCCTAGAACTGTGCTGTGCAGCGTGACAGCCAGTAACACAGGTGACAACTCAAACATGAATTAATCAAAACGGACTTAATTCCTCAGAAGCTCCACTGTCGTTTTGGAAACTGAGCAGCTACATGTGATTGGTGGCTTCCATATTGGATGATGCCTACATAGAACATTTCCATCACAGCCACAGATCTGCAGACAGCCCTGTTCTAGAATGTCAGAGAAGAAGAGAAACAGTGCCTTTGCCACACTATGGAGAGCCGGGCCTTGCTATTGGTCAACTCTATAGGAAGTTCATTAGGAATTCCTTCCTCTAGGCAAGTTCATAGTACAGGCCAAGGATGCTAGCACACGCCTTTAATTCTAGTTCTCAGGAGATAGATGCAGGTGGCTCTTTGTGAATATTAGGATAGCCTGGTCTACACCGTGAGTTCTGTACATAGTGAGACTCTGTCTAAAAAGAAAAAAAAATACAGTAAAGCCAGCCATGGAGGTATGAAGTGATAGTTCAGTGAGTTTGTTGCACAAGCATGGAGATCTGAGTTCAATCCCCAGCACCCACATTAAAAGCCACATGGGCCTGGCAGTGGTGGAGCAGGCCTTTAATCCCAGCACTTGGGAGGCAGAGGCAGGTGGATCTTTGTGAGTTCAAGGCCAGCCTGGTCTACATAGCAAGTGCCAGGACAATCTCCAAAGCTACACAGAGAAGCCTTGTCTCGAAAAACAAAAACAAAACAAAACAAGCTACATGGAGCCTAGAGAGTTGGTTCATTGGTTAAGAGCACTTATTGCTCTTGCAGAGGATTAAGGTTCAGTTCCCAGAACCCACATGGCAGCTCACAACTGTCTCTCTGTAACTCCAGTTCCAGTGCATCTGATGCCCTCTTCTGACCTCCTCAGAAACCAGGCAATCACATGGTACACATACCTACCTGCAGGCAAACACTCATACACATAAAATAATAAAATAAAGAAGTATAAAAACAATTAAAAGTCATGTGTTAGCATGCATTTGTAATTCACAGCAGGGGCGGATCCCAATAAAATACTTTCTTTTGTAAATAGCATTGGCCATGTGGTCTTGTCAGAATAACAGAAAAATAACTAATACAGGGACCCTGTCCTTTCTGTAATATGAGATGGATTAATTATCCCCCTCCATCTAGGAAGAATCACCCCTTAATTGGTTCAAACTCAAGAAATATCCTATAGATTGCCCCTACATACCTCCCTTCCAGGCTCTCAGGAAGAAAGCACCTTTAGGCCATGATGCTTTTTTGTTGTTGTTGTTTTGTTTGTTTGTTTTTTGAGACAGGGTTTCTCTGTATTGCTTTGGAGCCTGTCCTGGAACTAGCTCTGTAGAGCAGACTGGCCTTGAACTCAGAAAGATCTGCCTGACTCTGCCTCCTGAGTGCTGGGATTAAAGGCAATTGCCACCAACGCCCGGCCCATGATGCTTTCTTGACATTATGATTGGCATATGGTCTGCTAGGACTCTGTTGTGATGAGGATTACAATTATACTAAGCAACTGTTCCTAGCTATAGATACAGTTCTCCACAACCCTTCCCTCCTCCCCCAATTCAGGCAATAACTCAGCATACGGAATTAGCACCTTTGACAAGAAACTCACTGGCAGGAGACCTGGTTCTCCAACTGGAGGTGGCACAAAGGCCAATGCTTGCACCCAGAGCTACCGCAGCAGCAGAGGAGACATCCAAAGATGTTCAGTATCTTAAGAAGGGGTCCCCCTAGGGGATGCTTTGGGAACCCACATGCACACACCCAGCTCTCCTCCTTTGGGTGAAACAGACCACTAGTTCTCCATCCCCTCCCCCCCTTTTGTCTTCTCTCCGTTGCAGGTGATCATGGAGCACTGATCTTTTGTTCTGCTGGCCTCTCCCCTGGAATGTATCCCTACCACTGCTTTGCTGATCCAGATGTCAGGGGAAAAAAAAAAAGCTTATTACATTTTGCTGAAATACCGAGTGGGCCCATTATCAGATAGGAGGTAGAAAAAGACATCCTTCAAATGTTAGCTTTACCTATAACCCTTCCCTTCTGTTAGATCTTGACTATAAACGGCAAAAAAAAAAAAAAAAAAAAAAAAAAAAAAGAAAAAGAAAAAAGAAAAAAAATGGTCTGAGATCCCACATTCATGAGCCCTCCACCAAGACACCTCCAGCTATAATAGAGCCAGCGAAACCAAAGAGATTTTAGAGGTTTAGTCCATTGTCATCAAGGTGGGGAACATGGTGGCACACAGGCAGACATGCTATTGGAGAAATAGCTGAGAGTTCTACATCCAGATCAGCAGGCAGCAAGAAGAGAGAGCCACTGGGCCTGACTGGCTTGGGCTTCTGAAACCCCAAAGCCCACCCCCAGTGACGTACTTTCTCCAACATGTCCTAATCCTTTCAAATAGTGCCGCTCCTTATGAGCCTATGGGGACCGTTTTCATTCAGACTACCACACCATCTTCTGCACATGGCACATATACATACATAAAACTCAAATACATAAAATAAATAAATGTAGTTGGACATGGTGACACAAAACTTTAATCACATCACTCAGGAGGCAGAAGCCAGCATGAGTACAAGGCCAGCATAGACTACAAATTGCAAGCTCGGATGTCTACAGATTAGTATGCTAAACTTGATGTCTAAGAGGGGAGACCAGAATCCTTTCACAGAAGAGGCAGCTGGGCATGGAGAAGTCCCAGAGTAGAACACAAAAGCTAAGAGAGAGAAATGAGGAGAAAAACAAGGGGAAAAATGATAAGCTGAGTTCACAAGGAACAACTCTAAATAATGAAGTAATAGAAGAGTTTTAAAAATGAGAGAAAAAAACTACTAAAGAAATAATACATTTCTAGATCAGAAGCATATCAATCTCTAAATGAAAGAGCCCAAGTAGCATTGGATGGACAAATTGGAGAAGTGCTTCCAGTTGTTTTAATGTCACAGATAAATAGAACTATCTGGGGGCTGAGGAGATTGCTCAGTGGATAAACTGCTTGCCAGGCAAGCATGAGGACCACAACCCATGTAATGACATAAATAGCCTCCATAATTTGTTTTGTTTGTTTCAAGACAGGGTTTCTCTGGGTATCTTTGAAGTTTATCCTGGCCTGAAACTCACAGAGATCCACCTGCCTCTACCTCCTGAGTACTAGGATTAAAGGTGTGCACCACCACCTCCCAGTCTGCAATCTTAGTATATCTGAAATACAGCTAGCCTGTATACCCAGCAATGAGCCATGAGTGACGGTGGTCTGGCCTTGTTTGTGGTGCTATCTCTTGTTGGTGGAGAAATGCAGGGATATTTTAAAGGCTGACTGTGGGACGCTGTGGCTGAATGGAGGTGACCGGCAGAGCAGAGTCGAAGATTTTCCTAAGGATTTCGCTTCATCCCTGCGTGCACCTTAATTGTGAGCCACTCAATACTAATCTGAGACCTAGATCAGAGAACTGACGCGAAAGAGCTTTCGGAAGGGGACGATGAAATCGCTCGCTCCGTGCGTCCAAGGCACTGAGCTTCGTTTCACAGACGGAGAAACAGGGACCGGACACCCGCAGATGGAGTCAGGGCCCCTAGGCGGTTCAGACTGTCCGCGCGCAGGGAACCTGGGAAACGCCCCTGCACACCGGGTCCCGCCCTCGGTGGGCTGTCCGCGTCCGAGGCCCAATAAAGTTATTGAAATTGACACGGTTGCTAAGGAAGTGGGTCGCAGAGCCTGGTTGCTAAGGAAGTGAGCGGCCGCGTTCTCTCCCCATCCGGGGCAGCGGGGAATGGCTGAGCCCGGGGTTCGCCGCCGCCGCCCGGTCTCGGCTGCGGCTGCAGGTGAGTTTGGGATGCGGGATCCCCGTAGAGCTCCCAGCGTTGTCCAGGCGAAGCTGCTCCGCGAGCTGCAGTATCCTCTGCCCGGCCTCTGGGTTATCTCACCGCCAAGCTCCTTCTCGGGCGCGGCCGGCACGACCCCTAGTCTCGGCCGCCCCTGCTATGTCCTCACGGCTGGTTCGCGGTCGTAGTCCCGGGTCCTGGCTGGGAATGCAGCCCAGGAAGCAAGTACCTGAGATCCGAAGCTCGGGGCTGTGCCTGGCTCGCTGTGTGACCTTGGACAAACCCCTTGCCCTCTCTGGCAGCAGCAGACTTGTCTATCCAGTGGGGTCCTGACACTTGCTGAGAAGACGTGTGCATGAAAGGGCTCCAAGTGGGAAGAGGGAGCGTGGCCAGGGTCCTCTACGTGGGGACCAAGAGCCCTGTTTGAAGTCTGTGTGCTTGAGTTTGAAGCTGCATCGCTTCTAATGGAGTGCTGTGGGAAGCCCATGGGGCAGGGCGTCTGGAGTAGCATGGCACATGGGGCTTTTTATTCTTTTTTTAATTAGCAGATGTTAATTACACATAATGATGAGTTTCATTATGACGTTTCATGTCTCATATGTGTGTATAATGTATTTTGGTTATATCCCCCTCTCACTGGCCCCCTCCCTTCTTCCATTTCCTTCTAATTCCATGCTCTAGGGCAGCTTGCAAGAACCTGGTGCGGGGGGTTCTTTGCAGAGCAGGAGCATTTTACCAGGGGCTACACCACAGAAGAAAATTCCTCCTACCCCCTCAATCACCATTAACTGGTCAGAGGTGCAATGTGGGGAGGGGCGACACTAGAGTGGGCGGGGTCTTGTGAGCCCCTCCCCCTAGCAACCGTTAACTGCCTATAAATCCTCGTGTAGGGGTGGGTACTTGTGAGTCCCCCCCTCTACAAAACACCTGGTTAGTGCTTACCGCACTATAGTAAGGTGTTTGGAATGGGATGGAGCCTCCCAAGGGGAAAGATAACTTGGGGCCAGAGGGCTTAAGTGTGTAGCTTGTCAACTCACGGGTAGTCCTACTACCCTGGCCATTCCCCACCCACAGTTTGACTTCTTAGTCTGCTAAGAGGAGGGATGTTGTTGACCTCTCAAGAGGTACTGGTGGGAAGAAACCCAGAGATAAGATTTTTGTATGCGGCAGGGTTGTGGTTTTGTTTTGTAGTTGTGCCTTGTCCATCGTCCCGTGTATTCATAAGAAGAGTAAGGGTGTGTTTATATCTTCTGGGAAGTGCTTCAAGCAGTAGTGATCATTTACAGCTTGATGATTAAGAAGTTTTTTTTGAGGCATACTATCTCATTTAATCTTCACAGACTCTGTCAGGCAGCTGGTGATGTCACCCGTCTCATAGATGAGGAAACTGTGCCTGAGAAAATTGAATTGGCTTGCCTAAGAATCTGAGGTTTACAGTGTGATGGAGCTGGACAATCATTTTATCCCCTCCTCCCCGATGCCTCTGCTTTCTCAACAGTAACTGCTAGAAGGCCACAAGGGTATTTTGAGTTGCTTCTAATTGCTTTGGCTAGAGGTTGTTCTCCCAATGGCATGGAAACAAGATCTCAGAAAAAGCTTTGTTTGTTGAGTTTGTTTCTAGCTTTTGTCTAATAAATTTCATTGACCTTTAAGATTTCTTTTATTGCTGTAGTGTGTGTGTGTGTGTGTGGGGGGGTGTATGTGTGAGTACCAGTACCTGTTATGGTATGTGGAGGTGAACACTCAGCTTTGTGGGTCAAACTCAGGTCAACTCAGGTTGTCTGGCTGTGTGGCAAGTGCTTTACCTGCTGAGCCATCTCCCCTGCATCATTGTGACTTTTTCCCCCCCTGAGACAGGGTTTTCTTCATGTAGCCCTGGCTGTCTTGGAACTCGATCTGTAGACCAGGCTGGCCTCCAACTCGCAGAGATCTGACTGCCTCAGCCTCCTGAGTGCGTTTGATACCACTGCCTGGCAGTGAGGGTTTTTTTTTTTTTCCAATAAGAGTATAGGCAACTTATTAGTGCTTCAGTGACTGAAGGCCACCATTAAGTGCCTGTTGGTCCTCATGGAGGAGTGGGGTCTTATGGAGCCCTTTTCCCTCCATGACTGAATATTATATGATGGGCTCAGTCTCATGTATCTCTCTACACAGGTAGCCACAGCTGCTGAGTTCAGGGGCCCACAGCTACATCCTACCCAAATACAGCCTTCTACACACTCAACTCCCTTTCCTCTGCCTCTTATGTTCTTTCTGCCCCCTCCTCTGGTTGGGGGTAAAATGTCCCCATTAGGCTGAGCACTCAATAGTCCCTTACTCTCAGCACTTTGACCAGTTATGAGCCTCAGTAACCACTGCCCACTGCAAAGGAAGCTTCTGTGAGCAAAGCTGACTCGATCACAAATCTATAGGCATCAACCTAAATACTTAGAACATAGTTTGACAGATGCATCATGTCTGTTTAGTAATACAACAGCAGTGGCTTCCCACTAGGGCCTATGGGCTTTTGACCAGGTTGCAATACCAGATGGGAACTCCTTTCTGCAGAGAAGGCCTCAAATCCAAGCAGAAAGTTGTTGGTTACCCTATAGCAGCCACAGCACTATTGCACTGGGGGTACATCGTCCTGGGCAGGTCGTTATTGTAGGAGGAAACAGCCACAGCCCAGTAACGATGTTGATGGTAGTTATTCCCCAGTAAGCTGCATAGCACCTTTTAGCTCTGAACCACAGCCAGCAGCAGGGAAGCTTCCAGCTCAGGTTCAGCTTGGGTTCTCTGTGTTATGAAACCAAAGCTCATGGTATCCTCAGCAATAAGCTCTTACCATATCATTCTGGTGGGCATCCAATAGCAGTGGTGTTAACCTGTTTTGGTCCCTCAAGGGCATCTCCAGTGATTTGAATGGGGACTGCTGAGACATCCAGCCCTGTGGATTGAACAACTGCCTGTTTCTTGGCCTCTATGGTGAGTGACAGCCATTGTTGGACTATTGCATCCTGTAAGCCAATCTAATAAATCCCTTTTTAATAAGTATATTCATTCTCAGTTCTGTTCATTTAGTAAACCCAGACCAAAATAGTATCATCATTCTCCAACAGCCCACCTGTGGCACTAAAGTTTTCCCATAATAATTTATGGTTTTTGGGGAAAAAGTGTCACTGTAGTAGATAGCATTTGGGGTAAGAACCCCCCACCCTATGCTGGAATGTTTAAAAGCAGCATTCTGTCTCTCAGCTCCTCTTTAGCTAGGGGTTTGGGCTAGATGACACTAAAGGACCATCAGTGCTGTAGTGCTTAAAAGCACACAGTAGGGCTGCTGGGTTAAAATCTTGGTCAGCCATTTTCAGGCTGTTTGCCACCAGCAGTTGCTTTACCATTTTGTGTCACAGCTTCCTTACCCATAGAGCAGATGACAACATTAACAACTTGCAGGGCTATTAGGAAGATTGACTTGAGCCTAATCCATGCAAACTGCCTGGCACATTTGGTAAAGGTTAGCTGCCATTATTTGGGTTTAAGCTAGCACCTGTACTATGTTTCATATGCTGTTTGTGGTTGATGATTGAGTACAGTGTGTGGTTATAATCTCAGATCTGTCCTTCTTACAAGATCTTCATAAGCACGAGACACTTGCCACTGTGGCATCATGTAATGCTGGTATTATTGCAGGCTTGCCACTGTGGCATCATGTAATGCTGGTATTATTGCAGGCTTTCTCCAGGGACCAGGACTTCCATGTCTTATGGGCTACAGAGAAGGGAGAAATCTGGGGCACGGGGTAGCTCAGTTGGTAGAATGCTGGCCTAGTGTACATGAACACAGGATTTCACCCCTGGAGCCACATAGAGCCTGACATTGGTGGTGCATGTCTGTAATCCCAGCACTCAGGTGCTGAAGGCAGAAGGATCAGAAGTTCAAGGCCACCTTGGCTATACGTCAACTTTGGATCAGTCTGAGCCATATGAGGCCTTGCTTCTGTTTGTTTGCTTTAAGGAGACTAGTTATAGAGTTTGAGGCTTTGTTGCTTGGCACCAAATTCTATAAATATGTATTATATCTCTATCCCAAGGAAATGCAGGCTGTTGTACCCCCACAGCCTTCAAGGAACCCAGAGCTTAACTTGCAAGTATCTGCCATTTGACAGAATGGCATTTGACAGAGGCTTTGTGCACGCTAGGCAAGCACTCTACTAACCGGCCCCATCTCCAGCCCCTTGGTTTTTGATTTTCCATAGGGAGGGTCACCTTGTTGCTCTGGCCACCCTCTTAATTTCTAAGCTCGAGTGATCCTGTCACCTTAGCTTCCCGAGCAGATGGGACTGTGGGTGTATGTCAATATGCCTTGACATGTCTGAATGGATTCATGTTTTGTTTGTGCTGGCCACAGTGTAAAGCCACTGCTGTCTTCTACTGTGTCCTGAGATATGTCCTAAAGCACTTGGGGGTGGGAGCAGGGGGGGGGAGGAGTGGGGAGCCTCAGGTTGCTTCTATACCTCTTTATTTCCTTGTTATCTTTCCATTTCCCCTCCTTTTCCTTTTTTCCCTCACTTCCCATTTCTTCTTGTTTTCCCAGGGTTCTGTTATGTAGCCCAGGCTGGCCCTGCGTGCCAGATCCATACACATTTCATTTGTGGGTTTTCAGGTCACAGAGAAAGAACCTGGTCGTGTGGTAGTGGACACACTGCTGTCTGTATGGACCTCGATGCTTTTGAGGTCTGAAATGGGCCTTTACTCGGTCTCACTGGTACTCCAGGAAGGGGAAGGTCAGATTCAGCTCTGCAGTGGACGATGGGAGGACCCTGAGGAAGAGCAGCCATGCTGCTGGGAAGTAGCCCACCTCACAGTGCTCTTGCCGCTGTGATCCTGGGCTTCATTTGTGTGACATTTGCTGAACTGGTACCCTGTATAGTCTGGGGGAACAGTGATGAGATAGATGGGTAAGATCCCTGGTCTCGCAGTTACAGTTCAGCAGGCTCAACCTGGAAACAAAAAAGTAGACAGACAAGGGAGTGTGAGCAGGATAAGCACTGTGGAAACAGCTCAGTGGTGGGCTAGTGAGGTAGTGACTGTTGTTGTTGTTGTTTTTCAAGACACGTTTCTCTGTATTGTTTTGGAGCTTGTCCTGGAACTAGGTCTGTAGACCAGGTTGGTCTGGAACTCACAGAGATCCAAGTGCCTCTGCCTTCTGTGTACTGGGATTAAAGGTGTGCACCACCAATCCCCGGCTGAGGTGGTGACATTTTTGTTGAGGTTTATTTTCAGAAAGGGGCCCACTGTTTGAAGGTATACCACAAGGACAAAGACTTCAAGGTGGGAACAAGCTTGGTAAGTTCCAGAAACTGTAAGAAGTGGCTGGAATGGGGTGAATGGAGAGGTGGATGGAGGTGCCAGTGAGAGTTGTTACCATAGAGGGACTTATAGGCTAGAGTAGTCTAAAAGCAATGGGAACCATGGAAGGCTTTTGAGAAGAAGGTGTCATGATCTGGGTGTTTCTGTTTTTGTTGTTTTTTAATGTGTGTGGATGTTTTGAGCGTATGTATTGCCCGTGCTCCACTTTCGGCATGTCTGCAGAGGCCAGAGGGAAGTGTCCAATCTCTTGGAACTGGAGTTACTGAGGGTTGAGAGCCACCATGTGGGTACTGGGACCTCTGGAAGAGCACTCACTGAGCCATCTCTCCAGCCCTTAGTTGCTGTTTTATTTATTTAATATTTTTGGAGACAGGGTCTCATGTAGTCTAGGCCAACCTTACGCTCTCTTAAGTAGTAGTCAACTAAGGATGGACTCAAACTTGTGATTCTTTGGCCTGTCTCCCGTGTGCCGGGGTTGTAGGTATGTGTCACCACACAGCGCATGCAGGGCTGCTGCTAAAATCAGAACCTTGTGTGTGCCAGGCAAGCCCTCTACTAACTGAGCTACATCCCCAGTCCCTAGTTTTTTGTTTCACTTGTTTTTCAATCACTTGGAGGGCAGATAGTGAGGTTCAGTGTAGAATGCTCTCCTAGTGTGCATGCCCTCTGTTCTGTCTCCAGCATCACACAAGGAAACACAAAAGAAAGGGAAGTCATTCCAGCCTCTGTGGCCTATAAGCTTGGGAGAGCTTTCAGAGGCAGCCAGAAGACTAGGTAGGAGGTTACTAAGATGGTGGTGGCCTTCTAGGGTGGTGGCAGCAGAAAGACATGTTTTGGAGGTGGGGCCAGCAGGATGAGAGGATTAAGGATGACTCCTAGGTTTTTGGCCTGAGCAGTTAGGTAGATGTTAGAGGTGCCATCTGCCTCTAAAACATTTGAGAACTTCTCGGTGAGGTGCCCTGAGAGGAACAACTGGATTATTCTAAGAGGTGCAAGGTACACACAGTACCTTAGGCCCCTGGGAGGAAACCCCCAGCTTCTTCTGAAGGAAGACAGCCAGGAGCATCTGACAGAGCTCCATCTCTAGTCTGTGCAGCAGTAATTGTGGGCTCTGCGAGGTTTCATGCTTACCTATCTCAAGCTGTTAACATTGCTGTCCTGGCTTGTGGATCTTGGCTGATGGAGGTTGGATGAGCCTAGTCAGCCAGCCAACTCTGGGGGAGAGCATAGACTCAGTAACACAGCTCTCTTCCAGCATCTCACATGGCCATGCTCCGCCTGCCAAAGCGCCTCCTTCCTGGCCACTGGACAGGAGGTCTAAAGGTTCAGAGCATTTTAGAAAAAGGGGAGGCTTTGAAAGGCTGCTATATTCTGCCAGGATTCCTAGAGGACTCTTGAAAGTAGCAGCTCATTCAAGCAAGGGATCCAGGCTTCATTTCACATGTACGAGGAACAGCTTTATAAATCTGGCATCCATTAATGTATGTTCAGCGTCGTGGACAGTGGCATGCACGACTGCACTGGCTGCTCCGTCGTCTCTGGTTTTATGGTGCTCCTTCCTGAGTGTGTCTCCAGCCCAGTCTCAGTCGTGGTCATGTGGAGTATGGGTTGTCCTGTTTTTCCAGATGAGGACATTGAGATGCTGAGAAGCCATTCCTGTTTGTTAGTGTATTAATGAGCTGCAAGTGCTGAGGTAGGTGGATTCTTGTTGGTCCAAGTGTGTTGTGCATGACAGAAGTACTCTAAGCCTAGATTGGAAAAGTCAGGGTCTGGATTTTACCACGGGCCTAGGTTACCGAGCAAAACTAGGGACTCCTTCCATTTTCCTCCCAGTCAGGCCATGGTAGCTGCAAGCAGCACAGCCATGCAAGAGGGAGGAGCTACTGGGAAACTGAGGGTGGAGCCTCCCGAACAGCTGGATGAATTTTGGATGGATCTGTTCAAACAGCTGGATGACCTGAAAGTAGAGCTATCCCAGCTGCAGGTCACTTAAGTAACTGACATTGTCACCATCATCTGCCTATGCAAGATCGGAGTTATCAGATCCATCTCTGGTGTCACTGTGCTTAACCAGACTCAGAGAAAAACCCTACAAGGCAAGAAGTACGAGCCAGAGACCTAAAGCCTTAGGAGAAGAGAGCCATGCTTACCCACCACCTCCTTCACCATGGAGTGGCTGTGCCTGTGCAAGGGTGTGGCCATGGCCTGGGGTCGCCCCAGTGGTGACAGTGACCGCAATGATAGTGATAACAAGGAGGTGATAGTGTGTAGCAGTAACTAATGTTTGCTGAGCCAAGCACTTGCAAGCCCTCTCGTTCCACAGCAGGCTTGTACAGGAACTGTTCCTCCCAGAGTGAAGTAGAAACACCAAGAGTCAAATATTGATCCCACATGTGCTGATTAATTACTTATTATTGTGTGTGTGGGGGGGGGTGTGTGTGGGTGTGGGTGTGTGGTGTGTGTGGATGTGGGCAGGTGTGCCACCGTGCACCTGTGGAAAGCCGAGGACACTTTTGTAAAGTCACTTCTCTCCCACCTTTATGTGGGTCTCAGGGTTCGTACTCCGTTGTCCACTGAACCATGCCACAGGCCCTCTGCTACCCCTCCCTCCCTTCC